TTTTCTTTCCTGTTTGTTTCAAATCCTGCCACCACACCTTTGCTTTAGAGACAAGGAATGTAGTGCAGACAGGCCAAAGTTTAGCTAGGCAAGGTGAAGTGCAAATGCCAATGCAAGAGACAGAGCTAGAATACAAGAGCAGGGGATAAGAGTACAGGAAGTGAGTCCAGTGAGTGTAGGGGCACTGGCAGACAGTTCACTTGAGATGCTCTTGCTTGCCCATAGCCTAGCAGCAACACAGAAACCAAGCTTGGCCCATGAAATCCCTCCCGTTCTGAGCCCCTGTTTCCCAGACAATGCAGCTCAAGGCCTTGGAAGCACAGATGGGATCCCTGACCTCCCGACTGACAGCTGCAATCTCTCCTTCAGACATTTGAATCTCGTCGATGAGATCTCTCAGAGTGCCTCCGTCCATGTACTCCATCACCAGCCAGAGTTCCTCATGCACAAGGTAGCTGAAAAAAGGAAACAAGGCCATGCAGGTGAACATGCACGGCTAGGTTGGTTTTTTGCTTGAGTCTTGTTTCTGGGTCCCTTGGAGACAAGGGCAGAAGTAAAGGCATAGACATTGCCTCTAGGCTGTGCAGTGTTTGCAGTCTGTGCTGTCTCAAGGAGAAAGGCAGTTTAGGAAGAGCCCAGATAAAAAACCTGTCACGCATGGCATTTCTGGAAATAAGCACCTAGTCTTCCTGGCATGCACAGCAATGGAAAAGAGGGGCAACAATGCAAGGGCAATCCTCTCTTGGATGGTTCATCAGCATTTAAGAAACTTGAACAACTCAAGCCCAAAGAACTGTGGAGGCAATGAACTTAGAAGGTATTGAATTCTTAAGATAGGGCTGATGCAGGTTTTTGAACAATTTTCAGTCTGCATTTGCCAGGGTGGATTCATGCAGACAAAATGCAGTCTCTTCCCATCCATTGGAGATAAGTAGAGAAATAATCATTAACAGCTCTATTTCCTGCCAGTTACCAAAGTGGGTTTTTAAGCTCTCATGCTTGTAGTATGTAAACAAACATTCAAGGGATAAGACCATGACCACTCACCTGGCTAAGTAATTCACGATCCTGGGACTCCTATTGCTCTCCATGATCCTGATTTCATTCATGGTTAGTATCTTCCTACTCACTCCTTGCACATTTATTTTCTTTATGGCCACCTCAAATGACATTGAAAGGAGTAACTTGAGAAAATTGGTAGCATGAGACCACAACCCACATGGAGCAAGTGATTTTGGAATGGCACAGCCAAGCTGTGCCAAAGTGCCTTGTGATTAGACCTCATCACTGGAGTAATTAGGGAGTGACATTGCAACAGCCCATTTCTCTG